TTTAGGGGGAGGGGGTATTTTTAGACCATCGACCCTATTGTATCATTAGGCCGCTTTGCAATGCGATCAGTTGTCTATTTGGGCTTTAAGCCTATAGATGTGTTGAGACTCCTCACCATTACTGAGGATGTGCGCACCTGGAATAATGGAGTGCGTGGCACTTGATTGGTTGTTGTGCGGCCGCGCAGCCTAGAGGAAACACTGGTTGTGACCAAGCATTTCAGTCACTAAAATGTACTTTGTTGAAACTATAATAATGGCTTGTACCAAACGATACCGTTAATTAATTACAGGTACTACTAGTGTCAGTGGGATCCAAGTAGTTGTTGTCAGGTGCAGGAATGTGTGTGAAGTGATATATGCTAGTCATATATTGATGTCCACTGAACGAAAAAATGCTTACAGTTGTAGCGTTTTCCAAATATTCTCTCTACTACTCGTATGGTAGGAATATCACTATTTACGTATATCATGTATCACTGAAATGGCTTATAAATTTCCAAACCCACAAAATATTAACGCATATTGGATTACATCGTTGTAGAAGTACAACTTTGTTGTAAAGCATCGTCCAGGGCAGTAGCACGGTAACGTAGACAGGTCATCTTGCTAGACATTCTCAGCCTGTCCGTTGAGAGTTCGGGCATCGAGTACCTGTGAAAGTCATTGCAGAAGCAGTAACGATAAGGTATACAAATAACGATAATTTCACTTGTGGATGGATTGTTTGAGTTGTATTTTACAACTCATAGATGGCGATGTGGTAACTTAAGGCTTGGCTACAGTGTTTGTAGCGAGCCATGATGTTGCTTATTGTTTGTTTGTTTGTTTTGAATTTCGCGCAAAGCTACACGAGGGCTATCTGCGCTAGCCGTCCCTAATTTAGCAGTGTAAGACTAGAGGGAAGTCAGCTAGTCATCACCACCCACCGCCAACTCTTTGGCTACTCTTTTACCAACGAATAGTGGGATTGACCGTCACGTTATAACGCCCCCACGGCTAAAAGGGCGAGCATGTTTGGTAGGAGGGGGATTCGAACCCGCGACCCTCAGATTGCGAGTCGAGTGCCCTTACCACCTGGCCATGCCGGGCCACGATATTGCTTATATAGGTCACTGGATGCTATGTACATTCGACACATGATGTAGTACTGGTTATGTATGTGGCAGTATACGTCTATTTTATGTCATTAAAACTGTTTTCATTATTTTTTTGTCCTATTCAGTAACTGCACAGTTTTCAAGCACTAAAGAACTACGGCCAGAATGTTATATTTACATAATAACTAGATTTTGATCACACCATGGAAAACACATGGGCACCCAATGTTTTTATTGGTGATGGTAAAGGATATGTTTTTGCATGACCACAGTATTTGTGGTTTGTGATTGTAATCTCCGAAGAAAGTGAAACTCGAAGTTGCAGAGATCCCGGTAGTTTTGAATGATAATATTCATTTTCTTTCATGAGCTTGAGAATTGTGAATTTTATTATTATTTTTTTATTTTCAGTTTTATAGTACATTTTATGTAGGCTACATGAATGTCACTTTGTTTTATCGCATGTTTTGTGCAGGCTACATCAATATCACTTTGTTTAATCGGACGTTTTGTGTAGGCTACACGAATGCCACTTTGTTTAATCGCATGTTTTGTGTAGGCTACATCAATATCACTTTGTTTAATCGCACGTTTTGTGTAGGCTACATAAAACAAAGTGACATTCATGTAGCCTACACAAAACGTGCGATTAAACAAAGTGACATTGATGTAGCCTACACGAAACGTGCGATTAAACAAAGTGACATTCATGTAGCCTACACAAAACGTGCGATTAAACAAAGTGGCATTCATGTAGCC